ATCCTTCCAATGGTCTGTAGCAGCCCAGGCAGCCCCTGCCCTACCTGGCTCACGGGGTGTGAGTAACTCACCTGTCATATAAAAGGCTCCGGGATACACAGTGCTGGGAGGTTTCGAGGGAGTATATCCAGCTGGATCCCTGCTGTAGTCATCACCTGAGTTGGATGGATACACCTGTGGGGCAGGATAGGGAAGTTGAAGAGAAGTGCTTGGCCATTCCATGGCCCATCCCACCTTGCACAGCTTAAACTTCAACTTCGAACCGAAACTTCAGCAGTGTCTGACCAGCCTCCCCCAGGGCAACAGAGCAGCAAGCTTTCACTCAGTTGAGTTTCCAAGGGCCTGGAGGGATAGGACAAGGGGGAATGGCTTCCCACTGCCAGAGGGCAGGTTAGATGGGATATTGGGAAGGAATTCTTCCCTGTGAGGTGCTGGGGCACTGGCACAGGGTGCCCAGAGCAGCTGTGGCTGTTCCATCCCTGGGAGTGTTCCAGGCCAGGCTGGACAGGGCTTGGAGCACCCTGGGCTGGTGGAAGGTGTCCCTGTCCATGGCAGGGAGTGGGACTGGATGAGCTTTATGTTCCTTCCAACCCAACCTATTCCATGAGTCTATGAGTTTCACTCTTGCTCAGCCCACAGCAGAGCCAGGCGGGACTGGGGCGGCTCAGCGCCGTGGGAGCAGCACAGGGGACCAGGCCCTGCCTTCCCGTAACCCCACGTACCCCCAGCCCCTCCCGCAGAACACGGCAGCACCAGCAGAAGTTTCGACTCTGCTCCAGTTCCGTTTTCCGCGGTTATAACTTTTTCTGGGTAACCACAAAAGCCACCAGTGCTGTGTGCTGACCCACGAGGGGACAGCCCGGGCCTGCTGCGGCCTCGGGACCCTCTGTGCCCACCCTGGCACTGCCTGGCTCCTGGGCACAGCCCCTGCCCAGAGCTCTGCATGATGCAGCCAGGGGGAAACTGAGGCACGGGGCAAGCCGCGGGCTGAGCAGCCCCTCAGAAGGGCTGTCCCAGGGCAGGAGACACCTCTCAGACAGCTTTGTGCAGCACTGCTCAGCTGTGTGATTTAACGGCACATTAAGCAAAAGAAAACCTATTCTTTCCCTTCCAAACTAACCAAATCCATCCTAGAAAGCCCTGAAAAAAATCAGCTTGGACCAGGGCAAAAATAACCTGTTTTAAATAAAACCCCAGAAATTCATCACGCAAAGAAACCGAAATGCCACTCAGAATGATGTGAGAACTTTTGTCACAGCTTATTTTCACCTATGTTGATTCATTCTGAAACTGATCACCATTTCAGTTTACATCCAGCCGAGGGCAGGGGTAGGGGCAGGGCTGGACAGCTCTGCCCACGCTCTCCTTGGGGAGGAACCCCGAGGTTCTCCTTCCCCACAGACAGCTCCTCCTTCCACCCCTGTCCCTGTGCAGCACCCAGGGCAGAACTGGTGGTGGGAGTGAAAAACAGAATCACAGAATCATTAAGAATGACCATCAAGGCCATCATCTCCAACCATCAACCAGCACCACCACCATGTTCATCACTCACCATGTCCCCAAGTGCCACATCCACACATTTTTGGACACTTCCAGGGATGGTGACTCCACCACTGCCCTGGGCAGCTGTGCCAGGCTTCTTTTACTAACAGAACACCTCAAACCCCACACCAAATCCCTCAAAAACACAGCAGTGACTGCACTTAAATACATACACGGTTTCATTTTCCCCTGACAGCTGAGGGTTCTGCTTCCTGGAGCAGCTTCCTCCGAAACTGCGGGCACAGAGCCCCAGGACAGCCCTGCTGTCTCCCCGTGTCTTGTCCCATGGGTGGCTGTGGGACCATGGAGAGCCAAAAGCAACTTGTGGGTGCAGTGGATTGAGAGTGGATGAAGGGACAACAAAGGGACAATGGAGCTGGGGAAGGGTCTGGAGCAGAAAGAGCAGCTGAGGGAGCTGGGGGGACTCAGCCTGGAGGAAAGGAGGCCCAGGGGGAACCTTCTCACTCTCTACAACTCGCTGGCAGGAGGTGCAGCCAGGTGGGGTCAGGCTCTGCTCCCAGGGAGCAAGGGACAGGATGAGAGAAAACAGCCTCAAGTTGCACCAGAGGAGGTTCAGGTTGGATATTATGGAAAATGTCTTCATGGAAAGGGTTGTAAAGCATTGGCACAGCTGCCCAGGGCAGTGGTGGAGTCACCATCCCTGGAA